CTCAGACCAGCTGATGTTGCAGACCTAGAAAGTATACAGAAGTTTTCACCTTTTATGTGTTTTATCTGACTTGAACAGGACAAACAAATCATGCTTTAACGTTAGGTTCCGTTAGGGCATGAATGTAAGGTTTTATTTCACATTGATTTCACTTTTTGTACTTCATTTGCTGATTATTGCTCGTTGTGAGCTAGCTGCTACCACTACAACACCTCCTTGTAGATATCAGTATTTAACATGTGTGCAATATTGGATATTGTGGATGCTGTTTAACATTAACTCTGTTTCTCTGCAGGAGCTCTGTCCACCACCACCACCCAGTGGAGTAGTATCTGACAGCATGTCCTCTTATAAAGAGTATCCAGCTCACCGTCCCTTCGTTAACACACTTGTGCATCATCACACACCCCAGACACGCACACATCAGTCCTTTCGCCCATCTTCACCCAGCAAGGCATTCCCAGAGACTAGCAGTGCAGGTAACTTTATGTGTATGGGTTGTTTTCCCTTCACAAAGTTTCCATTCAAGTATTGTAGTGTTTCAGAGCTCCATGGTTACCGCATGTGCAACATGATGCCGCACTACTTGAATGTCTCAGCTGCACTGACATCTATTCATTCTTTCGCATTATCCTCTCTAAGTTCCTATCCAACCCTCCTATTCTTCCATCCAAAGTTAAAACTCATATCTTATTACGCCATGACTATAATCAGGCCCTGAATATGCTTAAAATATATCATTATATTGTCACATGCATCACATCTCTCACACACAATCTGTGTGTGTATGTGTGTGGTTGTGTAGCGATCCTATCTGCCTTGAGGAACCTCCAGGAGAAGATCAGGAGGTTGGAATTGGAGAAAGGACATACAGAGCTCAGTCTGCACACTTTGGGGAAAGATGCCTCACACACACATCTGCAGAGAGATAAAGTCGCACAGAGACCTTTAAATGATCAGACAGACACAGAAAGAGAGACCAGTGGCCAGTCCAACTGCAATCAAGGTGGGTGTATGGATAAGATATAATTGCTTTTAAGCTAATGTTATTTAATTGTTTTAATTATTTAACATACTTATATGTTTTTTTAACATAAATAAATAAATTATGTATATCTTAAGGTGTCTCATTGTTCTTCTCCACAGTGTTGATCACCCACCTGGCTGCTGCAGAGTCTCGCTGTGTGAAGCTGGAGCGACAGCTGGACCACATGAGGAGGATGTTGCGCAATGCCAAGGCAGACAGGACCAGCCTGCTCAAACAGCAGGTTAACACAGTGTTATAGGCTCTAACATAAGACTCTTCACTTAAAAATGCACAAATAGCACTACATACCTTGAATGTTTTTGAGTAAAAGCCACCAAAGTGTGTGTGGGTAGTTTTTGTAAAACTGTATTAATTGTTCTCTACACTTTCAGGTTTCCAAGGAGACAGCCAAGTCAGCTGATCATCAGTCTGACACAGTGTCTGAGCATGCCCAGTTGGAGAAGCTGGAGCGGCTGGAGCAGGAGTATCTGAGGCTGACACGCACACAAAACAACGCTGAGGTACACACAAAGACACAGTGAAAATGTGCAGAATTGTACATTTCTGTTCAGACAGAATGATACTAATTCCTCAAGTTTGCTCACAGCCCATCTGTCTGCAAATAAGACAAACAATGTTACATTATCCAAGAATTTAGTGCTGTGGTTCTCAATCTGGGAGTCAGGACTGCCACATGGGTTCCTAAGTTACATCTTTAAGGGTCACAAGTTATTGAAAGGAGTAAGAAGACAAAATGAAACACATATTTGATTAAAACAAAAAAAAATATATATATCTTTTTCCTCTTTTATACATTTTTTCTTGTGAAATGCTGAATGCTCGACAGCTCAAAAATTGAGAGGGAAAACTACGATGGGTCCCAAGTAGATACTGATTTCTTGTAAAGGGTCACAAATCAAATGCGGTAGGTTGAAAACCACTGATCCAGCTCTGGTTTCTCATATCAGAACTTACAAGCCTCAGCGTTATAATAGACTTAAAACTTAAAATCACACATTGTTAATGTGATCATTCTTTTTGCTCAGAAATGTTTCCCACATATGATCTTGATCTCAAAGGCTAATTTATGTTTTAATCTCAAGTGGGCAGTGACAAGAAGGAACTTAAATCATCTTATTATTTCCACAATAATGATGATTGTGTGTGTCTGAATGTGTCAGGTGAAGATTCGGCAGCTGGAGATGAAACTACAGGAGGAGGAGCATCAAAGAAAGCTCGTCCAAGATAAGGCCAATCAGGTGAAATGGCTTTGATTTTTCTTCAGCTATAATAGCTTGTACTCACTATTGACATATTTCTTAAACCTGAAAGAAAGCTTAGTCTAAGTTGTATTTTTTTTTTGTATGTTTGTGTTCTTCAGCTACAAACAGGCCTGGAGGCCAATAGGATCCTGCTGCACTCAGTATCACCTTGCCTGTCCACCAGACAGTCCAAAGAGAAGAATTCCACATCAAAGGTTCAGGCTTTTACTTCTGTTTGAGCACACTAAGAATGTTTCTTACCTTCTTTTAAAAGCAGATGTTTGAACTAATGTCACAAGACAGCTGCAGTTGAGTTGTTCTCTACAGTGTTAGTACATCTGTGAATGTCAGGTTCAATCAAGTTGAAAAGGATTTAAGTGCATTCGTTAGGGTACCTTAATACATTTTTTTTATTTTTAAAATAGTATAAAATTGATGGAAGTTCCATTTTCTATGCTTTTGTTTCTCTAAAAAGGCACATAACTTTTTAATAAGAACAGCTTTCGTTTCTATGATCTGTGTCATTGTGAAAATCATACTTTTGGAGTATTTAGATCTTACTATTGTTACTAATGTTCATTTTCTCTTTCCAGAAATCATCGCCACAGCAGTCGTCCTACACAGAGCCACACTATAGACTGAGCCTCAGAGATGTACCTTTTGTTGCTGGAACGGTAGTATGGGCATAAATACATTTGTGGTTTTGGAATAAAATGATATTATATTTTTTAATGCTGTGCTTTCCTTCCACTAGCTCACTGTTTGACCGTCTCTCTCCTCTCCTGCCTGACTTTCAGTCAGTGGGCTGCAGCCACTCGGTCCGAGCCAACGTCCAGTCAGTTTTGTCTCTCCTGAAGCGACACCAGCCCCACCTCTGCAACAGCCGCGTCCTCTCTAACAGCGCAAACGGCTGTGAGACAGGTAGTCACAGGCATTCGGACACTTCCTCCTCTTCATCCTCCGCCAGCGGGGAGGAGCTGTCGGAGCTGCTGCAAGCACTGCAGGAGGAGCTGCGACTCATGAGCTTGTGAGTGTAGCCGCATCTGAGCTCTATAAGGAGTGAACGGCTAATGTTAAAGTTAATTCTATGTGTGCGTGTGTGTGTGTGTGCAGGGAGCAGGACGAGTTGATGAGGCAGGTGGAGGCCAGTGTTACTGAATGGGAAAGAAAACAACTTCAGAGGGAGCAGGAGAGGTTGCTGCTGAAAATGGAGAGAAAAGGAGAGCAGATCAGTAAACTCTACAAACACAAAACACAGGTACGTTCTCACAAAAAAGTCAGTTCCTGTACTGTAAAAGCAAGATTTTGTTTTGTGACTCCCATCCTTTATCTTTTTCATGTCTCACCTCCTAGATAAAGAAGTTAAGAAAGGAAGTGAATTCTAGGCCAAACAGTGGGAATGAGGTAAGAGTGACTACCACAGTGTCCACTAGAGGTCGCTCTGCCGGAGCAATCAAAGTGAGACCAGGAGAGCGGAGCAAGAGGAACCTGAGGCTGCTGAGGGACATGAAGGCTCTGCAGACCTCATTACGGAACTGAAACCCAGCAGGAAACAGCACATTAGGTTAATCTTGTTGGTGCTATCTACCTACCTATGGCCATTATGTCACCATCAACACAGCCACTGACTGATGATAACTACAGAATGTGGCAGGCCAGTTATCATGAACTTATGACCCATGATCCATTGATGAAAAATTTATATTTTTTACTGTATTAGGAACATTTGCATCTGAAAAAGCTGTGTCTTTTTAAACCAGACCTACGTTGTCTCTACCAGTCCACTCAAAGTGCATTTTATCCAAACAAGGTGAGTTTTCTGATAAGTCATTTTAATATATTTATATACTAATACTTTGGCAGAAAAAGAGGGCTTTAATTTATAATTGACTTTATAAATTCTATTAAAGAAACTTTTGGTTCATGGGGTGTGTTGGCTCAAACATCTGTCTGAACTCGCACTCCTGTTTTTAACCAGCAGAGGGCATGACAGTTCATCCTCAAAGCTTAGTGTGAGTGAAGAGCCAATGTTTTTCATGTAGTTTTCTGGGCATGGAAACAAATATTACAGTAATGAACAACCTGGACTTAATGAGTCCCACAGAATAAAAAAATAAAATAATATTTTCTTCTTTTTATTAAGGAAGCCAAAATATCATGGTGCTAAAACATTCCTTGGTCAATATGTACAGATTTTCAGATAGATATTCATAGTTTATGCTGCAGCCAGCGCTAGTGTAAAGAAACTGCAGTGATGAATAGTTTGATACATATTTCTGCAGTGTGGTTAGCCTAATTGTTTGCTGAAGGACCTAAACAAACATATACTGTGCTCTATGTGGTTAAAACGACTGAATCTCCTCGATTTATGTGTCATATTGCAGACTCAGTATGTGTGTGTGCATGCGTATTGTGTGTTATGATGAGTATATGTAGGGGATTTTGATATTTTTTGACAATGATGGGTAACATGTTTTTGATTTAAATGTATTTCTTTGAGAAATAAAATATTTATGTTTGCATTTGACTACAGTTTTGTTGTCTTTATTTCACCATGAATATATTCATCACCGTATGCATTGTCAACCAGCCATGTCACATTACTTGGTATTATTTGTGAGGATATTCCAATGATCCACTGTGCACTGGTACCTGTACCCTGCTCCACTGTGATAAAACTGCTCCCATTGGGCTCTCCTCTTTGACAGACTTGTCTTATCTACCTTTGATGCCGGTACGTTTGACGTCAGTAAACATCAGACCAGAATAAGGTCATAACAACCCTTAAAATAAATGTTCTGCAACTGCTTTATTACGTATCTATATCCTTTGAAGTAAATTTATTTAATTCACTGTAGAGCAAAAAGGAATAACACTGAAATGATTTAATCATTCTGATCTCGATTGCTTTAATATGTTACTATTTAGTACTATGTACTGTAAAATACTATGTGATTGTTTTTTTATATATTAATATTATTATTCTAAATACTCCTAACCCCAAACCTGCTTGAGCTTGTTTTAAAAAAAGATGGTGGTGGCTGAGACAAAAACAAGTTTTTATAAATTATAATTGTTTAAGTTAATGACGTACAACATAAAACTGTCCCTATGGACTCCCGTACATGAAATTACCCATAAATATTATCCAGTTTTAATTCGTCCAATATTTAAATTAACTATCCTGGAGATAATATAGAATACATTTTGCAAAGATGCCTAACAATTCTCACACAAACTGTAGCTTGTAAGGAGCAATATGTATATAAAAAAAACTAAACTAACACGTTTCAGGATTTATTAAGATGTGATATTCGCGTCTCCAGTCCAAGACTTTGATTTGGGCAGAAGGCTGGACCGGGAATCTCCTGAAGACTGGAGCTCCAGTGTGCCTGTCTGTACTGTCAGTGTCAGTGTCGGTGGGGATATCTGCGGGGTGTATGGCTGCGATGTGACGAGGACACTGAGAAGGGCTGGTGGAAAAACAGCGCTTTAAGCTTGTCAACGATATGGTATGCTGCTTTTTACACTTTCTTTTCTTTTGGTTGCTTTTTAAATTCACTAACTTGTTTCACCAGACCTACAAGGAAAGATGAATGTGTTTGTCCTCCTCAGTATGGATTTATCAACACCTGTTTGAAATCGCTGGTTGTTGAAAAGTTTGGCGAGGAGACGTGGGTCAAGCTCAGGTAAACAAACAAACAACATTTCTGTTTACAGTATTAATAGATTTCTTTCAAGGCTTACTTGAAAAAAAAAACTGCTTATTACTTTGTGTAGCCAACAATGAATGCATTACTTTTAGGGTTAGGGTTTAATTAGGTTAGGGTTAATTTTACAAATCAACATTTCTTCTTCTGTCTGCATCCCCTCTATCATAAATGTAAAAACAATTAATTCAATCTCTTCCCTGTGCAGGGATGAAGCTGGAGTCCAGGATACCTTCTTGACATATGAAGTCTATAAGGATGAAATCACCATGCAGTTAGTAGCAGAAGCCTGCAAGCTTCTAGGTATATTAATAACCATGTGTGCTCACTTTGTTTCATAGTTTAAAATCTGAAATGTTGGAGAAAAATAAGTCAAAATGAATTATTTTTATTATCTTGCTTTTGCTTTGTTTTGTTTTGTTGTCAGGAGTGAAGCCAGAGGTTGTCTTGAGGCAGTTTGGAGAATATTTCTTTGAGTTCTGCAAACGCTCAGGCTATGATCACATGCTGCGGACTCTGGGAGGAAATTTGTTTGAATTCACTGAGAATTTGGATGCACTTCACAGCTACCTCGCCCTCTCCTACAAGGTGCCTGCTCCCATGCTAATTCATGTGGTCTTTTCTTTATCTTGTTTTTCTTATGATTGTGATTTATGATTCATTGTTTGAGTCTCGCAGGAAATGAATGCACCATCATTTCGGGTGGAGAGGAACCCTGATGGTACCATGCTTCTCCACTATTACTCAGACCGCAGAGGACTCTGCCACATTGTTCCTGGTAAAACACTCCCTCTAGAATAAATGCCTTTTGTATTATCACTTTCTGTATTACTCTCCTAATTCTGTCACTACTTGATTGACATTCAAACACACTTGCAGCAATGATACATAGGTAACACCACTCTCTTTTACAGGTATCATTGGAGCTGTTGCTAAAGATTTTTTCAACAGTGAGATAACAATGGAGATTGTCAACCAGCTGGAGGAGCTGGAGAGAACTGGGAAGAAGGAGCATGTGGTTTTCCTGGTGACTCAGCGGCCGGCTGCTCGGTCCAGTGTGGTTATTAGTGAAACTGAGCCATTTCCAAGAACCCAATCCCTCCAGCCTTTAGCTAACCGACGTAAAGCGATGATCTGGATTAAAGAGGTAAGCTAACTGTGTAGAGGGCCGAGAGTGGACAAAATAAGCCATAACAATAAATATGATTTAATTATAGCGTCCTCTCTGCGTCCTCAGCCACTTCATCAAAAGAGATCCAGTATCAGTTTGTCAATGCAAAGGAGTCACTGGGAGACAATTAGGGGGTTGGTTCGTATTGGGAAAGGTACAGTACAGACAGCCATAAACATACATACAAACCTTGGTGCAGTAGGTTGAGCCAGAAGTCAGAGACATCAGTAGAACTTGAAAATTGTAACCAAGATCGCCAGCAGGAGTCACACGCCTGTAGGTACCTCTTCATGTGCATCTTTATGTGCAAAGTTACACCCTTTGTCTTGCTTTACAGGCAACTTGTTGAGGGGTTTTCAGCCGGTGTACCCTACAACCCTTAACATTGACCTGAAGACTTTCTGCCATGCTTTCCCTTTCCATATAGTCTTCGATGAGCAGGTACAGGTGACCACTTTCAAATGACAAATACAGTATATTAGAGGTTTGTGAGTGTTTGATCATATTAAATTGACTGAGGTGATCCTGGTGGTGTCTGAGGCAGCTGGTGGTGCACCAGGCAGGGGTGAACCTCCAGAGGATCGTCCCTGGGCTCCAGATGATGAGCATCCATTTGGACCTATACTTCAGCATTGTGCATCCTGAAGTCACGTTCACCATCTCCAGCATCAGGAAGTTCATCAACAGCCACTTTGTCCTGCAGACACGCAGGGACATGATGCCTGAAGTGTGGAAGGACAGGCCAATGCTGCAGCTCAGAGGTAGAGGACAAAAATAAAACCCAACGATATATTGTCTACCCTATGCAGATAGAAGAAGTATTTAGGTTTGTTCCTCGCAGGTCAGATGATCTGGATGCCCTCTTTGGACTGCATGCTCTATCAAGCTTCTCCTCTGCTGAGAAGCCTTCAGGAGTTGGAGGAGAGGGACATGCACATATCTGACATCGCACCCCATGACGTCACCCGCGACCTCATTCTGCTCAATCAGCAGCGACTGGCTGAAATAGAGTTGTCCAATCAGTTGGAGAGGAAGAAAGAGGAACTCCGCCTCTTGTCTCAGCACCTGGAGGAGGAGAGAAGGAAGACGGAGAACTTGCTGTATGCCATGCTACCCAAACATGTAGCCAACCGGCTGAAGGAGGGCAAGACAGTAGAAGCAGGTTAATTGAATACAAATGCTATTAACGTTGCATAATTTGTTTTTGTGTATGACTAATATAATATGACTGTGATGTGTCTTTATGTATGTGTTTGTATATCCTATAGGAGAATTTAAAGAGTGCACCATACTGTTCAGTGACGTGGTGACCTTCACTAACATCTGCTCCCTGTGTGAACCCATCCAAATTGTCCTTATGCTCAACGCCATGTACCTCAGATTCGACAGGCTCACAACCGTGCACAATGTTTACAAGGTACACACAACAGATTGAACGCTTTTCAATCAGACTCAGATCAGTTCAATCGACTGTATTTCTTTGGCATTTCCCAGGTGGAGACCATAGGAGACGCCTATATGGTGGTTGGTGGGGTGCCCATACCTGTCTCGAGCCATGCTGAGAGAGTGGCCAACTTTGCCCTGGGTATGATCTTGGCTGCCAGGGAGGTTATTAACCCTGTGACAGGAGGACCCATTCAGGTGCAGGATCTTTGTACTCCATTTTTTAAAATACACAGAGGGAAATATTGTACTTTTTAATCCAACACATTTATATAAGAGCTATGGTTACAGGTTACTTGGCAGATTATGATTTTATACACAAAACATCTGCTCAGCTTGTAACACATAATGTATTATTACAGAATAAACTACTCAATACCATATGAAATTGTAAAAAGGAGCTCCACCTTGACCAAATACAACACTAGTACTGCTTACAAATGAATTAAATCAATAATATAGACATTCTGCATATTTAATACTTTCAGCTTTGCCAATAACTGTTGCTAATACTGTTCTGTTCTATAATGTGGTATTGCTAATTTTATCTAAGTAAATGATTTGAATACCTCTTCCGCCGCTGCAAATGCAAATGCAACCAAAGGATTTTTTGCTTTTATGGATGAAATGTGACACAGCATCTGTTACACGGCTTGTCGTATGTCTGTAGATCCGTGTGGGTCTCCACAGTGGTCCTGTCCTGGCAGGTGTAGTTGGGGAGAAGATGCCTCGCTACTGTCTGTTCGGAGACACAGTCAACACTGCATCTCGCATGGAGAGTCATGGCCTCCCCGACAAGATCCATTTGAGCCCAACCGTCTACAAGTGAGGACGCACATATTCATGCATAAAAACACATGCGTTCATACACACTTTGATGTTTACCACGAACCCTGTGATGTCCTTTTCTGATTTCCACATCTCCTGTCTAACATTTCCTAGGGCTTTGAAGAATAAAAGCTTTGTTATCCAGAAGCGAGGGGAGATCGAGGTAAAGGGGAAGGGCAGAATGACTACTTACTTTCTTGAAACGAACATAGGAGTGAGTGAGCAGCAGATTATGGGTCTCTCGGACTTAGAGACTGTGGATGGACAGCAGGACGGCCAGATGAGCTACCAGCCAGGTCTCCACAGATCAGGTTTGTTTGTTGTCTGAGAAATATCCCTAATTCTACATTTATGTTTTCTTTAAATTGGAGAACAAGGACTTTTAATTACCAATTGTTTGGTTTTTAAATGTCCTGCAGTCTTCATAAGCTATAATACATCAATCTCTTTCCTTCTATCATTCACTTTTTCACTCTGTTTTAGATTTTCAGAGGCAGCGTGGGGATGACCTTTGCTTGATCCCTATGAAATACGGCGACAGCGAGAGTGAACCTGCGCCGTTCTCACATGTGTCTGAACCCCAAGCTGGCCCAGCCATCAAGCCCCGGGACTCAGAGAGCTACGGAAGCCTGCACACTGATGACCAATCAGAGGGTGGAGCTATAGACCAGCTAAAAGATACAGATGAATTTGGCAAAAGAGATGTCAAACTCACAGAAAAACACATGGACGGCTTAGACAGTGACACAGAGGACCAACAGTTGACTGCCGGTGCTGTGGAAACCAACAATCAAAGCAAACACACCCAAACCAGGTTTTGTGTGGTCCTGTGAGCTGGTAATTACTTGCTGTATGGCTGACCATAAATGATTTATCAACATGTGCCATTGCTGAACAAAACAGCTTTTTTTTCATTCTCACCGTGTATTACATCAGATTGCTAGAATCTCTGCATTGTTGATGTTTCCGTTAATTGTGATACTTTGGATGTAGTGTATGCTTTGCTTGTTGCTCGTGTATCTGTCTGTCATACTGAATAATAAATGCATTTGCCCTGTCAGTGATTGACAATAAATCTTGTGAGCACAGAAGGTACAAATATTCAGATAATTTCAGATCAGATCAATTGTTTTCATGCAATATGGTGAAGAATAAACACACTCAATCTTATTTATCTGGTACATTTAAACCAGCACAATCGGCAGTGTATATGACTACAGGCAAACTGCACTCTGAAAAAAGCAGTGTTTTTAAGTTTGCTGTTATGATTAATTTGTAATGCAGAAAAGTAACGTTTTGGCTAACGTCTTTCTCAGTGTGTGCCTCTATTTGAACTAATGCCAAAACATTAATATAGCAACTTCACAGCTACTTTTTTACTAGTGTGAACCACTTTACCTCAGTTGAATTTTCACAAAACAAAATGCAGCTGTGTATCCAGCCTTATAAATACATAAATGTGACATTACTGTACTATTTTAAAATGACTCACAATAAAGATATTGAGATATAAGAAATTGAAGTATAAGGGTAACAATAGTTGAGCCTCTTAAAATCTGTCAAAACAATAACACTGCACATATCACAGGTAACAGCTTACATTGACTTTTAAACGTGCCTTACTTTAATTTTCATATTAGTATGTCAAACACTGGTATATTCACAAGGAGCCTTCCATACACGAAAGCAGACACTACACTTTGTGATATGGACTACAAAAAGTACACTCTTTAGGAACATTGTCAGGAAACAGGTCACATGTTTAGACACACACGGCCCCTTCACAATTCAAATAAGTTTACATTGTGAAAAGAAACAAAGATGAATAAATAATAGGTGTGTTGTTGCTCACAAGGCCTGAGTCAGTGACCACAGCTGTCCTAAAAAGAGCTGTCACCTGCAGGTGAGTGTCTCACTCCAGAAACGACACCCCACGGTTGGGAGAGGAGTCCAGACATCTGATCCTCGCTGCAGAGGGCCCTGTGTCTCATCACTGTTGACCGGGCCTGGATTGCCATGGCCAGATGAAAACAACACCTGTAACCAGAGTCCTCTGTTTGTGTGGTCAGGTGTGATAAAATCGGTCTGCTGGCTCACTCAGTAAGAGCCCAATCTACACTGACCTAAATGAAGAGGCTAACCTGTTCTGAGGCCACAGAGGCTCAGTTCATGTGTGCAGTTTGTCTCAAAGTCTTTAAAACAAAGTTCTGCTTCTCAAGAATCTGTCTCAGTTATGGAAGCCAGCTCTGTGATTTTAGACTCCTCCTGGTGCTTGGTCAGAACCGGCCGGTTGGTGTAAATGTCATCCACAGGTAGAAGGAATGTGACAGTTTTTACCTTGGTCCTGAAAGGGTAAAAGAAAATCATAACAGTCATTGGTAACAAAGCTGCAACTTAAGAAAAGGTTCAACCTAGAGAGAGAAAACATAGCTTCAAATACTTAAAACTAGCCATCAATGGGGAGAACCTTCAAAAGAAGTGCCTGCCTGTACCTGTTTTTGTGTACATATTCCTGCAGAGAGTGCCTGTTGGTAACTTTCCCCACATCTGCTCTGGCTGAGTTTTCAAACATGCCGCTCCCATGCTGGATTTCCTCTTGTAGTCTACCCCATCCAGTGTCGCTCTGCTGTGCCCTGTCAGTCCTTCCCTCTCTCATGGTCACCCCAGACAGGTTGGAGCTTATAGAGTACCTCCGGACAGTCATGACAGCGTTCTCTGTGAAATAATATGAACACGGTGCATTGGGATGGATTCATTTCCAGAGATAGAGATGGAGAAGAAAACACAGGAAATTTTCTGATTATCTTTGAATGTAACTGCTTTCCATGTTTTAAAATAAAAACAAGGTTTTCTTGTCATTTTCACATTTTGTCGTCATTTTTATGCACTTCTATAAATGTTTCAATCAGAGGCTATTGAGTTGCATTATTGCATTATTGGAATTGAAGTATGTAGTGTTTTTTTGTGTGTTTGACCAAAGGACTAAAATCAGGATTCACCTCAGCTCTTGCTCCTTAGTTTTTGAGCATTGTTTCTTTTAATCTGTCTCTTGTGGGAAATCCAACTTTATTAAAAGTGTAGTGCTGGAAAGCTAATTTAAAATGCTCTTCCCCCATTCCCTTATTCACGGGTCTTTACAGTGTTGTGGGAAATGAAAAATGAGTTGATATTATAATTGCATACAATAAGAGACTTTATTTATTTACTTAACAGATCATTTCTTATGTACTATAGGAATGTGCCTTATGAGTTTCCATGTCTATGGTGCTGTTTTCATCATTAAATGGTAAACACACAAGTTTAAAAGCAACCACCTGTTCAGGCCCTTTTTCAGCCTACCTTTGTATTGTCCCTCCAGGACTGGCGCAGACGCATTGCGCCTTAGGTTCACGTAAGGGTTTTCCTCAATCCCCGCCCGCTGCTCTGCCGCCGAAGACGCCGGGCTGCCTTCTCCTGGCACGGCCCCAAATGACCGCTGGCCGTAGTCTCCCCGCAGCTCTCGGTTCTCCGCCTCCAGCTTCTTGATTTCATCGCGCATCTCCATGATGACCTGCGCCAGGCTGCGGGTGCTCTCCATGGTGCTGCTGCTGCGCTGCCAGTACCACGGCTTCCCAAACACCGGCAGGGAATCGCGCAGGAGAAGCTCTCCGTGCTGCTGGGGCTTGAACATGCTGCTCCCCAAAGGGGTTTTGTGGTCTTCCTTACTGTCTGCCTTTCTCTGCTGTGTGCGCCTCAATCTCAGTCCAGATCTTGTTCTGGGGAGATTATGTCGCCTTTCACCACTTATACAGCTGAAAGGGCTCCGGTGATCAGCCAGCAGCACACAATGGATGTTTTATTAATTAGCACCCGGCGTCCAGTTTCAGGAAAACTAAGCAGGGGTCGGAAATGAAATGTGCACGGCAGAAGAGCTTGAATGGCGGGAGACCTACTAAACCTGCAGGATCACTGAAATAGCAAGAGTTTTTTTTTACAACTTTGTGGTCCTGCAACACGTGAAGCATCTTCATGTTTTAGCTCCCAAAAAAAAAAAAGGGAGGAGACCAGATTTTTTTGGCACCTCACTCTTCCTCTTGTAATGCTCATGTCTCTGTTGGGATTACAATATCCTCCCTCTAAAATATTAATTGCGTCTGTCAGCAAAGATAAATCTAGGAAGGAAACTGAGAAAAGGCCGCCTTCAGTGTTTTTGTCTGGTTGTGATGCGCAAGAGCATTTATATAAGGCAGAAAAGAAGGTCAGATTGATTGATGGAACAAGTGCAGACTGGATGCACACTGAGGTGTCATTCATTTCATTCAGAAGACAGAGAGACATGTGGGGTGGTTGGACGGCCTCTGATTTAAGCCTACTAAATTTGTGGTCCTCATGAATATGCATGTTGTTTGATAAAGGCAGAGGTCAGGGGGTAGACCAATGATGACAGGCAGTCTTGGAAAAAAAACCACATGAAAACAAAACAGGCGTTTGATAAATAATAAGAGAAGGAATCACTGCAACCGACATCAAATACAGGCAGGCTGCACACAAAGGAGGAAATTACAGATAATTACACTCAATGGGGCTTCCACAGCCTGGATTGTATGGTCAGGTGCCGCAATGGAGCTCATGTGGGCACAGGTTGTAACCCATTATGAATAGACCAGACAGTCTCTGAGCACACCTGTAGCTTAGCTGGCCTGACTCCAACATGAAAAGAGGTAAACACTGACCACACGCTTATAAGTAGTATAAGATAAAATATGAAATATTGTCAGGAAGAGCCATTAACTACCAGGTAGGTTTGAGACATTTTGTTTTCTGTGACCTGGACTGAATGGTGCTGGCTCAGAGCAACCTGACCCTGCCAGAGTCTAGGCCACGGGGAGGGAGACAGGCACACATAAGCCGGTCTGTGGAGGAGAGAAACCCAATCAGCCCCCTCTTTCTGGTTCACAAAATAGGCTACAGAGAGGGAGGGAGGCGAGAGAGATGAGACTGAGGGAAGGAGAGAAAGACCGATTGGCTGGAAGGAAGGGAGTGTGTGAAGAAGAGGCATGAGGTCGGTGAAACTCAATCTGCTGCACCTCAGGTGTGCGACCACAGAGGGAGAGTGAAGAGTCAGAGATATAAATGTGTCAGCGGTCTTGTCGGGTAGGGATAAAGACAGACAAGTGATTGAGAGACAGACGACTGTGTGCTGTCTTTTACCACCAGCTCTATGCTCATGGCCACTTAACCTCTTCTTATGTGCAGTGCCACAACCCCAGGCTTAGCATCAATAAATAAACAACCACTCTTCTGCTCTCTCTCTGCATGGACAGTAATTATACCCAACTATCGGAAAAAACTGACACCAGATCCCATGGAACACCAGTCTATGTCAGAGCACATGCTACATTTGAATGTCATTTCACTTTCACTGAATGCTCAGTCGCTGATGTTGGGTCTTCTCACATAATAAATAGATTTTATCATAGGTTTCTGTCTGCATTACTTTATTTACAACCAGCCATATATGCCTGCTTTTTTAATCAAATACTCGTTCTGAAAGAAGCCTGTTTAATGAAGAACGAGAGAAATCATTTATGTCGTCCTGGACCTACAGATGTTCCCCTCTGCAGTCACAAAAAGGCAAACAGAGAATGAACAGACAAAACTCTGAGACAACAGACTATGCTAAGGGTCATTTTAGTATCAGTTAGTAGTACACACAAAATACTGCACGACTGAACTAAAAACCTGGCATATATTCAAATTTTCATATTAAACCTTACTTACAGCAAAGTCTACCAGAGGGAAAATTCAGCATATCAGTTAATTAAATGAATGAAAAGAAGGCAATTCAAAAACC